CCTAGCTGCTTTTCTAGATATATTATAATATTATAAAGCCTATACTAGCCTATTAACTCCCTTACCCTCTATAATACTAGTCTTATTATATTCTATTTATTAAATAAATAGATTACCTAAATAGTAAGGATATTACCTAAGTAATAGAAAAAATCCTTAATAACCTTAGGGGAATAGGCTGCCTATTACTAAGTATTAATTACTCTAGATTAGAGGGTTCTAATAGATAGATTTTACTATATAAATTAGGCTATCTATTTCCTCTCTATAAGAGGATGCCTATTACTTATTATACGCTCTACTAGGCTCTTTACTTATTAATAGGTAATCTACCTACTAAGGGAAGCTTAGAGAGATATATAGGCAGCTAGATTATCCTCTTAGGCCTAAGATAAGTGTTATTATTAAATAGTAGGGATTATAATAGTTACTTAATTAATTCTATTATATGTTTTATAACTATAGTAAATTACTATAGAAATAGGAAAAACCCCTATTTCTTAGTTAGGAAATCCCTAGCTAATCCTAGTAATATTATTAGTAAAGTTACCCCTAAAAGTAGGACTAATTTACTACTTATTCCTTAATAATTTACTATAAGGTAACTATATATTTACTAGCTAATTTATATATAATTCTACTATATTTAATACACCCCCTTAGCGCTAGTAGTGTAATTAATTACTATAGAGCCTACACTAAATATTATCTATATATAGCCTATTTATTTATTAATTATCTTTTAATATCTTATACGTTTTCTTCCTTTATTTAGTTTTAGAGGTAATAAGGGGTAATATAAAGATAAGAGATAAGAGATAAGATAAGATAGGAGATAGGAGATAAGGAATATAGTTATAATATAATATATTGTATTTTCTACTTATAGAACTAAGACTAACTGTCTAGATAAAGGGAGAAAAGGGGATTATTTATACTTATTTTCCTAAGGTTATCTTAGATTTCTAGAGATTTCTTCTAGATTCTAGGTTATTAACTAGGTTTATTTATTAGGTTATTATTTAGTTAGGTTATTAATCTAACACACTTCGCTTATATAGTTTACTTAGTGTGTTTTACTACTAAAGTAACTCCTTAGGAGAATAGTGCTCTTCTTAGAAGTACTATTCTTTATATAGTAATATTCTTATCTTTTATAATATATAGTAGAATTTAGAGTAGTTATATAGTTATAGAGTGTATATAGTGTATATAGTATTATTAATACTGTGATATATATTATACTTATATTTAATTCTACTTTATTATTTATAGGTTTTATATAAGGTATTAAAGCTTACTACCTAATATTTAGTAGTAAGGCTTTACTTTATTATTAGCTACTTCTTACTATTAATTTACTTTAAGGTATATATATTAGTTA